AGTGTTCAGCACAATTTTTCAGTCATTCATGGACATATACCCACTCATTGTCACATTTTTTTCTCTGTGATTTATCATAACATTTTGTGTATATTTCCCTGTGCTACCAAGATTTACTTTTGAAGAAGGTTCCATGGGACTTAGTAAGGGATTGGCTCATAGGAGTTGAGGGGAAGTTATTGGAAAGGCTGACTTCCGGATTTCTGACATGATTAATGGATGGATGAGATTATATTATCTGATACGGGCAGTGCTAAGGGAGGAGGAGCAGATTTAGGTGAAAGATCAGGCAGATAATTTTGGATAGACCAAGTATGAGACACCTGTGAGAAATACAGGTGAAATGACCAAGTGATATAAGGGCATATTTGACATAAGGGTTTGGGAGAGTCTAAGCTTGAAAAGTCTACACTTAATTTGGAAATCATTGGTGTGTAGACTGTATTTAAAGCAAACAGATAAAATAAGATAATCTAGGGGGAGTGCATAGAATGAAAAAGACACAGCTCAGGTCTAAGCTCTGAGCATCCAATATTGAGGGACGAGGAAAAGAAAGAGGGATCATCAAAGGATACTGAGAATAGTGAAGCTATGATAGGAAAAGGCAATGTCTTAAAAAGGAAGTGGCCAACTGTTGAATACTGATGAGAACTCAAGGTGGAAACCAAAAAGTACCTTGTGGATTTAGCAACAAGGAAGTCATTGGTGATCATGGAAAAGAAGTTTAATGCAAAGATGGGAGTAGAAGCCATATTAGGTTGAGATCATTCATCCATTCATTCAGCAAATATCTAATAAGTATCTACAACATGCCAGGCACAAGATTTTTGGGAGACAATGAACAAGACAAACACAATCTCCACTTCAGGGAGGCAAAGCCATTAAATAGATAATCACAAAAGTAATGACTTATCCATAATAATGGTAAAGGCTATGATGAAAAAGGTAAGGATACGATGAAAGTATGTAACAAGGGAACTCAGTCTAGCTTGAAAGCAAGGAAAGGTTGCCTCAAGAAAGTGATATATAAGCTGTTCTTAAAAGACTTGCATAGTCACATCAGTGAGGTTAAGGAGAGAGTGTGTATTCCAGGTTGAAGGAACCACACACATGGAGTCCTTAATGGAGAAGAGAGTGTCATTAAAAGTCAGCAGTAGGGCAAGTGAACAAGGGGATCCAACCCAGAGGTCTTCTGGTGTTTCACATTGCTGGAAATGCAGAAGTGTGAGAAGAAATGTGGTGAGAATGCCTATGGCTGAAGACCTTAGGGACGAAGCTAGAATATCACTCTTCTCCAAGGTAAGGAGTTCACTCTGAGGTACAAAGTCCATTTTGTAGCAAGAACAAGGAGCATATCTTGGTGGTAGAAACTCCCAGAACTATTTTGATTCTGAGAATTAGACAAGATGGGGTTGAATAAGGAATTCTGTGGACAAGGAGGCTGTGGGGAAGAACTGATAGGCCATGTTATAAACATCCCAACAGTTGCCTATCTTTGTGGCTGGGAGAAATAGGAGCTAAGAGTTCTTACAGACAATCTGGGTTATAGGGGAAATTCCTGTTAGCCTAGAATTCAGCCTTGTCCTCTTCATGTTATGTCTACAAATAGCTGGTCAGGATTAGTTTACTTTACTCAGAAGTTATTTATCAATAAAGGATTAGAATAGGAACTATACAAACATGATACAGGAAGAAAGAAGAAGGGAAAAAATACAGACAAAGAAAATTTACCAGAAAAATATTGTTGAGGAGTAAATGAAACTTGTGATAGAAGAATGTGTCATAAAACTGAAGAGGACATCTAATGTTCAAGGCACTAATGTGGAGAGGGTCAATGAGGGGGTGGGATCCTGAGTGGGATGAGAAGGGCATCCTCACAGGGGAGTGTAGGAATATGTAGTGTCAAAGCACTCAAAAGGTAAGGAGGAGTCCACCTAGGGGAAGCACAGCTCAGTGTGAGATGAAGGAGACTGAGTATAATGAAGAGGATGGCCATGGGGCAGGGCCAGTGTCGGGTAAGGGAGCCTGGGTAAGCTGGGGACAGCATTTGCTCAGGTCAGGGGAAAGCCACAGAGATAAGAGATTGGGAGATAGGGTGATTGATAAAATAAGTAAATATATCAAGGATTATGGGAGGTTTTCTCACTGTTGGATAAGGAATTTACAAACATGGAAAGAGAGAAAAACAGAACTCTGTGTGGTGTTGGATAAAACTGAAGAGATCAGTGTGAACTCATGGTTTTCAATATAGATAGACAAAAACAAATATAGATATAAATATCTGTATGTGTACACACACACTCCATAGTTCTGTCTACTGAAAGAACTTGGAAACAGTGACACCCAAT